ATGGGTTAACTTGGAACGATTGTCAGGTATTACGCAACAACTGCCCTACCTGAAGGAAATCGGCATTACCGCCGCCTGGCTATCCCCTATCTTTACCTCACCCATGGCTGATTTCGGCTACGATGTGGCTGATTTGAGGGGTATCGATCCCATCTTCGGAACCATGGAGGATTTCGAGGCGCTGATAGCCCGCGCCAAGGAGCTGGACATTAAGATCATCCTGGACTTTGTGCCCAACCACACGAGCGACGAGTGCGACTGGTTCATCCGCTCGGTTGCCGGCGAGGAGGAGTACAAGGACTTCTACGTGTGGCACACCGGCAAGGTGGTCAACGGCATTCGACAGCCACCCAACAACTGGGTCTCCGTGTTCCGCGGATCTATGTGGACCTGGAACGAGCAACGGCAGGCCTACTACCTCCACCAGTTCCACTACAAGCAGCCTGATCTCAACTACCGCAACCCCAAGGTTATGGAGGCCATGAAGGACGTCCTGCGCTTCTGGCTGCAAAAGGGAGCCTACGGCTTCCGTATCGACGCAGTGCCGCACGTTTTCGAAATTGCCGCCGACGCCGATGGCAACTGGCCCGACGAGCCCCGGAACGAGGAGGTTAGCGATCCCGAAGACTACACTTCCCTGCATCACATCTACACCAAAGACCAGCCCGAGAACCTGGAGATGGTCTACGAGTTTCGCGACGTGATCGAGGAGATCGACGCCGAGCTGGGCGGGGATGACCGCGTCCTGCTCACCGAGGCCTACTCCCCGCTGGATGTTCTGATGGAGTACTATGGAAACGAAACCCACCTGGGCTCCCAGATCCCCTTTAACTTCGAGCTCGTGGCAAAGGTCACCAACAGCTCTGACGCCTACCACTACTCGGAGCTGATCCACAGCTGGCTGGACAACATGCCCGAGGGCCAGGTGGCCAACTGGGTGTTCGGAAACCACGACCGCAGCCGCACTGGATCCCGCTTGGGCGTCGACCGAATCGACGCCTGCAATATGATCATCCTGGGCCTGCCAGGTGTGAGTGTTACCTACCAGGGCGAGGAGATGGGCATGACCGACGTGTGGATCAGCTGGGAAGACACCGTGGACCCGCAGGCCTGCCAAGCCAACGAGCAGGAGTTCGAGCGCCTCAGCCGAGATCCCGAGCGAACGCCCTTCCAATGGAACGACGAGCAGAACGCCGGTTTCTCCAACGCCTCTGTCACCTGGCTCCCGGTGGCTACTGACTACAAGACCGTCAACGTGAAGAAGCAACGCGGAATCGCCCTGAGCCACCTGAATGTCTTCAAGCAGCTGCGCGCTCTGCGGGATGAGCCCACCTTGAAGCACGGCGATGTCTCGGTTTCGGCCATTGGTCCCAATGTGCTGGCCTTCAAGCGGTAAGCTAGGATGATTTATTCTAAGTGCCGAAAGATTACCGATTGCTCTATATACAGCTCCTTGGCTGGCCAAAAGTCCTACATCACCGTCATCAACATCAACGATGAAGTCGAGTCGGTCAACTTGGACTCTGTCTTCACTTCCATCTCCACTCAACTGCAATACGTGGTTGTAAACAACAAGAGTTCGCGCCGCAAGAAGTGAGTTCTTGTCACATGGATCATATATAACCAAATAGCCATCAATCTCTATATTTTCAGCGATCTTACTTTTGCCAACTCCGTACTGCTGATGCCCAAGGAGGCTGTCGTGCTGAGCACGTTCTAAGCTAATTTAACAGCTCATCAATAAAGAATAACTTCCTCCTGGGAGTAAAAATACTCAAGAGAGTGCTTATCCTAGCGATACCACCAATTTGTTGGGCAAGAATTGAGTATAACTTGATGGTTTGGGACACTGAAATATATATATTGCTGTTTTTGGCCAACTCTGAAATATCGTAGATTAAGCAGGAATTGAATGACTTGTATGGGAATGTCTTGTAACTATAGTTTCAAGAATGTAGATAGTCGGACTTGGTCATGCCAAGCTCTACAGTCGATGGCCTCGACTCTTAGATACCCCTTACTCTGCTAAACGGGAGTTCGAGAGAGAAATGCAACTCTCCTTTTTCACTAACACACCTAGCCTATACCGCCACCTAGCCTATAACGTCACCTAGCGCCAACTAGCCTAAGGCAACCCAAGCGGCTTGGTGGCTTGTTTGTGAAAACAGCTGATTAGCTGGTGTGCAATAGCGATTGAATTAGCCAAATTTTGATTGTTATTTGCTTAGAACTTTTTAATTGAGGGTCCGCTTTCAATAATTTTTGGATTGTTAATAGATGGGTATTGATAATAAGATTACAAATAGTGGGGGCTATAAGGGTTTTAGCGTTATGGGCAATTGTGGGCGTGGCATTCCGCCGCAACAAACTTGCGCTGCCACATTGTTTTTATATAAGCAAACCTTTCTTGTCGCTCAAAGGGAGCAAATGACGTGGCCGCACGATAAGCTTAAACAAGTCCTTTAATTTAAGAAAACACACATTTTTGCAGTGTATTATTTATTTAAGGGAAAGGAGACAAAAAAGTCGTTTAAGGCAATAAAATTGATCAAATAAAAACACCTCTGAACGAGGTAAGGGGTCGTGACGATCGCACCTATAACTTACAAAAGTTGCGTTTGTGACGGAAAATGCTGGTAAATTCAAGCAAATACACTTTCTAAAATGTTTTCCACCTGCCCGCCTAGCTTAATATTGTAGAGGGCTTGTCGTTAAAATTTTTTTAACAGAAACATCACTACAATTTAAAATTTTCGCCAACATTTAAAATTGCCGCCAGGAACTAAAATGGGCGAAACATGTTTCGCCTTTACAACACTGAAAAGTCTCGTTCGATAAAATTTCCTGAGTGGCTCTGGTCCTACTATCTTCCGATAAACAAGCCTTTCTGACTGGCGCATACGGAATATACGGCCTTTCCGTTTTGGATCTTGGCCGTGTGAAAGCCTAGTACTCAGATCGACGAAAACCGTGAGCTAACCATAGGAGTGAGCGAGAGGCAAATACGCGGCTAACGCTTTTCGTCGGGTCTGTTTTTCAGCGCGGTACTCAGATGAACTAAGGAAATACCAGAAAAATACCAGAAAATTTTCGATGAACGCCGTTAGCCGCGGCCCAAAGAATAAGATTTGGAAACTAAAAATGGAAGGAAAACCCCAAAATCGAATCCAGAAGGTCAGAGCAGATGAACTAGGACCCCAAATGGAGGACCCGCTGGCGTCTATAGGGAGGAGGAAAATAGGGCGCCCGCTAAGGAACAGTTGGAGAAGCCATAGCCAGCCACTGCCAGGGCGACTTCCGCAGCATCAGCGGATCAACCCCGTTCTCCCACTTCCTCAAGGTCCAATATGCCTATTGAGACTTGGAGCTGTACTGCGGTGGAGCGGGAAAGATGGCGAAGCATCCGTGGGACGAGAAGGAAGCTTTAAGCTACTAATTTACATAAATGAAACCATTCGTTTAACATTCCATTTATTTTTATTTAAATTTCTTTAAATACAAGCAGACTCCTTCTTTTTTAATTTCTCCAATTGATTTGTGTTCCGTTTGGCAACAAACCCAGCTGCTTGACAGTAAGACCATGCTATATGCATTGCGGATGAACTTTGAAAACTTCGGTCACACTACAAAGAATAAGATTTTTCGACTATAGTATATAGATAGATAGATAGATAGTTCTCTCCTAAATAAATTTTCTTCAGTGATTAACCCCAAACTCAGTGGTATACCCAAAGTAAATTGGCATAAATACCACACATCATCGGTCTTTGTAAAGGTTTTCTGTTACCAGTAGGTTGCTGTTGACTAAAGAAAGTAAATTTCACTAATATTTCCTGGGAAACCCATGATTCTCATAAAATATTGCGCTTTAAAGCGAGAGGCAAATACGCTTCTAACGCTTTTCGTCGTGTGTGCTTTTCAGCGCGGTACTCAGATGAGCTAAGGAAATACCAAAAAAATACCAGATTTAGCGAGTGAATTTCGATGAACGCCGTTAGCCGCGGCCCAAAGCATAAGAAATTCAATCTTTGGCGGTGTTCGTGAAAAGGCGGTGTGGAAACTATAAATTTAAAATGGAAGGAAACCCCCCACGTTGAAAAATCTTGTGAAATTCAACCTAAACATACCTGTGCAAGTTTATGTATGTCCGTGCAACTTATTGAAAGGCTCTGTTCTTGTCACACCTACATACAAACAACAGTGCACCCCTGCAGTTTTACAACACAGTGTACCCGCTACTACCCAGTCGTAAGTTGCGGAACGTGTTTTAAAAACACATAGTTCTGGGTCGTACCTTTTTTACGCAAAGCAGCACGTACGCAAATTTTCCAAGGCAAATGTGCGTGCTGGGTGCATTCTATTGCGGTGCCTTCTAGAAGTGTTTCAGAATAATGCATCCAGAAGCATGCTCAAACACCCGTTTCGGGAACGTATTCCGAAAGAAATAGTTCTGTGTCGTATCTTTTTTACGCAAAACAGCACGCATGCAAATTTAACTAGCAACTGTGCGTGCTGGGGGCAGTCTTTTGGGTGCCATCTGGGTGTATTTCAATATAGTGCATCCAGGTGTATTTTAGTGGGAATGTTTAAAACCAAACTCAAACCCAAAGGTTGCCGATGCCCATTTTTTTACAATCGTCTTTTTCGGTAAAACCGAATGTATGTTTTCTGTACACATATGAAACTGTCAAGAATTCTTAGCACCTCTAGTTTCGTAAAATAAAATTTATTTACGTAATTACATATACAACAAAAATTGCTGGTAAATATTTTTATTTTCCAATTTTGTTTTACGGCAAAAAAAATTTTAGATTTACAATAATGTAAAGTTTGCTGTTATATATTATAATATGTTTACTGTACGTAGCCTCGATGCTAGATTTTTTCCCGCCACTGTAATAGAAGCAAGCATAGGCCAAACAAACGGTACTCTTGAAAAGCAAACGAAAAAGACAAAAGGGAACATGCAAGGAAGCGCGCGGTTTTTCTCGCCTCTTGCATTTCTCGCCACTTGCAGATTTCATTTGAAAGAGTAAAGTTCAGCCACAAGTGTTATTACAAAATTACTAAATTTTTTACCAACCAACCTTAAATTATTCTTTTCCCAGGTAAGTAAAGTGTAGTTAGTGAAGTGAGAAATTAAACAAATTTACTAAAAACTTAAATGTGATTGCACATACTTATGTATTTAGAATGCAATTACATACATACATATACATATGTATATATAAGTGCGAAGTTAAAACAATATTAAGCATAAATGCAATAAATACCAAATTAATTTCAATAAATAATAAATAAGTTGTGAGGAAATACAATTAACATACATAAACATGTGCAAGCTGCAATTTACAATGTACATATGTATGTACATATGTGCAGACATCATACATCAAATTAGCATATGTACATAAACATGTGCAAGCTGCAATTTACAATGTACATAAATATGTACATACATCAAATTAGTGCGAAAATAAAATTAAAATACATAAATATGTGCAATTTTACAATTGTATTATTTTATAAATATATCAAAGTTTTACTAATGTTTGTACGAAAATAAATTAACAAAGATTTGCCTATAACTTTTTGCGTATATTATTCGGTAAATAAGTAAACACGTGTATCACGATTTTGCCGAAAAAAAAGACCATTTTTTATAAGTACCCGCTTTTAGCAATATATATCTCCAGCTTTAATTATCCGATTGACTTAATTTCTTTTATACAAAATCAATAAATCAACAATTAAATATTGTAAAGTAAAAAATGTATCCAACTTATAAAAAAAGCGGTTGAAGGTGACAAACGTGGGCATGATTAATACATGTTAAAAAACTTTACATTTTTTTGGCAACAAAATTTAAAAAAATTGTTTTTTTTTTAAATTACAAAAAAATGATATCTTTTTAGATTTTTAAAAATGTTATAAATATGTATATGAGTGATTCTTATTTTATTAATTTTCACTTTATTTTATCAAAGCAGGTACTTACAAGGGTGGTCAAAAGTATTTTTAAAAAACAAAAATATAACAACAAAAAAAAATTACTTCTTGTTCTTTCAATAGAAAGGTAATTTAAATGCCGTTTGAATGATACAATACATTTCTTAATCCATTCAGTACTTATTGAAAAGGACGAGTTTGTGTGAAAATCTACTATTTGAACTTTTTTCCTCGACTTGAAAACTTAAATTTTTTGATGCAAAAAGTTTCTTCAAACAAAAATAATAGTAACTGCAAGAAGAATTTTTGAAAAATCATTTTGGTTATATTTTTAATGATTTTTTGAAAATGCTTAGAAACATGCATTTCAGCCATATTTTTCTCTTTTTCATACAAATTTTTTTCGACATTGTCACCTTCAAAAAATCATAAAAAATATAAGCAAAATGATCGGCCATTCTCGACTCCACGGCGCAAATGTTGGCTCTCTGGAGAAAAATGGCACCAGTAGAGCCAATTCTAAAGGCCGACTTCCCCATCCGGTCGCTAGACCATTTAAAGGAGATGGACGAAAAGATTTACGGGAAAATGGAAAAATACGTAAGTTTCCAAAATCGAAGCGTTCACGGACAGACTTTAACAGCAATAACAACTTACATTAAGATTCGGAAATAATACAAAATTATATTTCTTAAATCCAAAGTATACAACGCAATGTAGGAGAAGATAATTTTATGGGGCTGGAATCTTCTCCTACATTGCGTTGTATACTTTGGATTTAAGAAATATATAATTTTGTATTATTTCCGAATCTTATTGTAAGTTGTTATTCATATTTTCTAGTCATTTTTATATTATTATTTCAGGTACCGCTCCTTAAATCCATTTTGGAGTTACAACTTAATTAAAAACTTGGACCAAATTTTAAGCCCGGATGTGATTTTACAACTAAACTACAGTGGGTCCAAACATAAATATGGACTCGCCAATTTCCACAACTTATATTCAGTCCTGCAAGGTACGTCCATTTTTATGATTAAAAACTTGGTGACGTTTACTTTGTAATAAACAGTAGCCAATATTAGAAATAATATATTTAGGGTATTCAATTGCGTTGCAAAAGTGTAAACTTTGTAAGTTTGCCAGACGAGAATTGTGAACGCCCTCTATTTTAAAATATCGTTGCAGGAAATTGACGTACAAAGTAACGCCAACTTTTAAATTTTTGTGAAAAGAAGGCTATGATATTATCTGTCATTAAAACCCAACTTTTCAGTATATTTTTAGTATTTTAGATAAAATTCCTACCCATTATTAACCCCCTATTTCTACACAAGTACAACAGATTTGTATACATAGGCTGGGGTGTTGTAGGCCTTGAAAACTATTTTGTATGGAAATTGTTGTTGGAACTGCTTACACTTTTACACTTTTCAAACGATTGCAACGCAATTGAATACCCTAATTATATTATAAATATTAACCAAAGCTTATAATTTTAAATGTGTTTTTATCTTTGCAGAATCACAAAAACGGGAAGGATATTCCTTATTGGAATATATAAAAGACGTCCGGTTGGCCTTTATGCGCCAAAAAAATAAAATATATAAGGGGAAAAGCGCGTTAAAGAAGGCCCACCCGGAGCCAGGAGCCGAACCGTACGATTCTGACTCTGAATAAAAATAAATAAATAAAAATATGAAATTGAAATCCAGTCTTATGTATGTATTCCTGGGGAAAACTTCCAGATATTTGATTTTTGAATGCTTCTAGGTGCATTAAAAAAGAGTACACGCAGAATGTGTTTAGTATGTTGCTTCCAGGTGCATTAAAAAAGAATACACCCAGAAGGTGTTTAGTGTTTTGCTTCCAGGTGCATTAAAAAAGAATACACCCAGAAGGTGTTTAGTATGTTGCTTCCAGGTGCATTAAAAAAGAATACACCCAGAATGTGTTTAGTATGTTGCTTCCAGGTGCATTAAAAAAGAGTACACCCAGAATGTGTTTAGTTTGTTACTTCCAGGTGCATTCCAGATATATGCTTCCAGAAGCATGCAACGGGTGCATTTGTCCCGCACCCGTGTAAAAAGAATGGACAGACTCATCACTTCCGGAACACCTTTTTGATGCCATTTCATAATGAAAGAACGCACGCTGGAATGCTGTCATTTACGACTGGGTAAGAGTGCACAAGTTGGCAGGCCTAAACCAGCAAAACTCGCTTTGAAATGTGATTCTGAGAAAAACAACATAAACAATTAAATTCTTGTCAATTAAATTCTTATACATAATTGAAAATTAATTCCTTTCTCAGTTAATAATTAAATATATAATTATCTAAAAGAATTTAAAGTAAATTATCCTAATCCTAGTATAAGCAAAAAAATTATTATGCAATAAGCAAATCTCGACATTTGAGCAAGTGTTTTATCCCCTGGAAGTGTTTTCCCAATTTATATCTACCCACCTACAGAAAATTACAGACAATAATATAACATATTGAAAGCGCTTTCAACGTTGGATATGGTGGGTAAGTGATCGGCTCCAGTCGTTATGCTACATGTTTTGATTGAATGTCTACAATAATATTCCAATGATCTTAATAGTATAAATTCTAATTATCTTGCTTTGATTTGAAAATTCCTCTTCAATATGAACTAGGAGTAAACTTTATGTGATACCCAACTTTGTAACTTTAAAGATCACTTTTGTTAGTATTACTTTTTATACCCGTTACTCGTAGAGTAAAAGGGTATACTAGATTCGTCGGAAAGTATGTAACAGGCAGAAGAAAGCGTTTCCGACCCCACAAAGTATATATATTCTTGATCAGGATCACTAGCCGAGTCGATCTAGCCATGTCCGTCTGTCCGTCTGTCCGGATGAACGCTAAGATCTCGGAAACTATGGGAGCTAGGCTATTGAGATTTGGCGTGCAGATTCCTGAGCTTCTTACGCAGCGCAAGTTTGTTTCAGCACAGTGCCACGCCCACTCTAACGCCCACAAACCGCCCAAAACTGTGGCTCCTACAGTTTTGATGCTAGAATAAAAATTTTAACTGAAATGTATTGTTCTCATCAATACCTATCGATTGACCCAAAAAAAAGTTTGCCACGCCCACTTTAACGCCCACAAACCGCGAAAACCTGTGACGCCCACAATTTTCATGCTAGATAAAAAATTTTAACTGAAATGTATTGGTCTCGTCAATACCTATCGATTGATCCAAAAAAAAATTTGCCACGCGCACTCTAACGCCCATAACGCTTAAATCTGTATACCGCCGGTAGGTGGCGCATTTTAATCTCTCTTTGCTGCTTGCATATCTCCATATAGCTGAGTAACGGGTATCTGATAGTCGAGGTACTCGACTATAGCGTTCTTCCTTGTCTTATATTAAACATATTTTAAAAATGAATTGCTAAATTTTTTTCCAATGGAAGCTTGCATTAATGAAGATGATTGGGAGTTAGGCGTGTGTCGAAGGGATCACCAACCTGTGTCAGGTAATGCGGCTACGGTGATCATGGTAGGGTGGGCAATGTCAGCGGCAAATAAGATCCCCGCTGCTGACACCGACACACACACAACAGCTGCTGCCAGTCCATCTAGGCAGCACTCTTCTTTTCAGGTAATCTCCCCCTCTTTGCTCCGTTCTTAGTTCGGTCTCCCTACAGTTAACCTCAAAGTCAGTTCGCAAGTGAATTTAGGTAGGATTTTCTATATACTTATGCGAGCAAGTACCACTGTGGATCAAATTGGAAACTCACTCCCTTTACCGACAAAAAACTAGAGCCGGAATATAGTTTATTTATTTTATCGAAGGTAATATCATTTTTCGTCACAATTGTTGATATCAGAAATTTTTCTTAAAGGCGCGTTTGCCACTACTTTTTACCTCGTTAAAAGGTGTTTTTGATTGATATCAGAAGTTTTTTTTCGCCCAAGAGTTTAAGTACCCCAATACCATGACTAGGAGTCGTTTCCATGAATATTAAACTTTTTAATAACAAGTTTTATCGCTTCAATTACCTATTTTAATAGCACAAGTTTGGAATCTCAAGGGCTGTATAGTTTCAGATTCCAAGAGAAACCTGTCGTTTCTTATATTTCCCGCCTAACTAGCGGGTTTTTCCAAAGTTGTAGAACAAATGGATCAAGTTTCCTATTTCGATTAGCTTCATGCAAGTAAAGGACCCTAAAACCATAACAGATTTTCCGTTTGAAAAAATCTAATAAGAATATTTTTCATAAAATTGGTTTTTTTCTTTTTTATTCCAATAAGTATCAAATATTTCGTATACGGAGTTTCAGCTTTACACTTTTTATCGTTTAATATCTTCCAAACGGTAATTTTTAGGGCAAAAAGTGTTATATATCAAAAGTTGAGGAATCTCAAGGAATATATGATTTGAAATTTAAAAACAAATCGTTTGACTCAGTTTTGAGAAAATAGTCAAAAAGTGGTTTTAAAAAATAACTTTTTGTCTTAACTCTAAGTCTATTATATTCAGACAACTTTACTATATGAAGGGTATTTAGCAAATTAAATTATCTTTTCAGAGATATATAGCATTTCTGTAGCATTAGTTGTTTAGATACTATAAGCATTTTAAATCTGGCTTTTTTTTGGATTTTCCGCTAAACTAGCGGGTTTTTCCAAAAGTCGCAGAACAAACGTTTTCTATTTCAAGCTACTTTATACACCTATTGGGTTTCCAAAACCCTTAAACTAAAAATCCCACAAACAAAGGGACAAACATTTTCGTTTTGGGAAGAAAAAGAAAATCTTGTTTTTTTAATTACTTTTGAACGGGACATCGGATTTCAACAAATGAGGTGTCGCGTATTCTCAGTAAGAATAAAACTAAATAAACAGCCGGCGGCTTTTATCCCCACCGAATCCAGCAGCTCCAATTTTTTAAATCTTTACTTTTACACTTTCACCGCTTCTTCTCCCAAACAAATCTATATTTCGAAAGTCTTGTTATGCAATCTTCTTAGTTAGTGCGATACCTTTCGATTGGTGTATTACTCGTTACGATCGGACCATAATGGCAGATTTTCAATTTTGCGGCTATATATAGTAATTGTCTTCGCACGCTCTCTTGCGCGCTCGCCACTACGTGTACTGCCGTCCACAGTAATAAGAGCTATTGTATATTTATATACCCGTTACTCGTAGAGTAAAAAGGTATACTAGATTCGTCGGAAAGTATGTAACAGGCAGAAGGAAGCGTTTCCGACCCCATAAAGTATATATATTATTGATCAGGATCACTAGCCGAGTCGATCTAGCCATGTCCGTCTGTCCGGGTGAACGCTGAGATCTCGGAAACTATAAGAGCTAGACTATTGAGATTTGGCCTACTCTAACGCCCACAAACCGCCCAAAACTGTGGCTTCTATAGTTTTGATGCTAGAATAAAAATTTTAACTGAAATGTATTCCACGTTTGCCACGCCCACTTTAACACCCACAAGCCGCCCAAACCTGTGACGCCCACAATTTTCATGCTAGATAAAAGTTTTTAACTGAAATGTATTGGTCTCGTCAATACCTATCGATTGATCCAAAAAAAAATTTGTCACGCCCACTCTAACGCCCATTACGCATAAATCTGACTACCGCCGGTAGGGGGCGCATTTTAATCTCGCTTTGCTGCTTGCATATCTCCATTTCCCTTTGGTTCCTTTAGCTGAGTAACGGGTATGTGATAGTGGGGGTACTCGACTAGAGCGTTCTTCCTTGTTTTTTTGTATCAGAACTAACGGGTATACTGCTACCTATGTGGCAGCTTGAGCAGGTTGTAAATATAGGGGATAATTAAGTGTTGGTATACAAGATTATTTTTTTTCGTTTGCAATTTAATTAGATCAGACTTCGAGGGTGTTAAATATATCTTAATGGATGGTCATGTGGGTGTTTTTTTTTAAGTCTTCTTCTTGTTGGTCTCCAAATAAGCCTCTTCGCCAGGGAGTTAGGATAAGAGCCAAGGCGTCTGAAGTAGTTTTCAGCATGAGTACGACAAACATCGTCTATCCTTGGGATTTTGAGATCTCTTTCTATATCTCAGGTTCCCATGAACCAGGGGGCATTACAAATCGATCTAACAATCTTGCTTTGCGCCATTCGTATTTTGTTCAGGTTCGACTTAGACGCTATGCCGTAGACTTGTAATGCAAATATCCAGATTGGACTGAGAATCGATTTATAAATTCGAACTTTGTTGGACAAAGAGAGCTCATTTCTTGACGAAAGAAGCCAGGACATACTTGCTGTCTTTGAAAGCACTGACTGCTTGACCGTTGTTGTGTGCCTCTGGAAAGTGAGTCCTCTATCCAAAATCACACCAAGGTACTTGTACTAGGACTCGTGATGAAGTACAGAACCTAGCGTGGAAATGCCTAGGCAGTTCTTTAGCCTTGTGGGGAATTTGACACAAGCACATTTATTGCAGTTTATGCCTATGTTCCATTCTGTTGTCCATTTTTCAAAACGTGATACGTACTCCTGCCGGCCCAAGGTTGCAATGTCTATGCTTGGACTCCTGACCATAACCGCTGTGTCGTCAGCGGTACAACCCCAGGAATCTGGCCTAAAAATCGTCCACTTGCTTACTGTACCTTGTACTTAATTATATAAACATTTTTCTAAGATTTAAAAAAAAGTATGTGTAGTTAGTCATGGAAAGTTCAACATACAAATTTTGACGGGCTTTTGATAATTTATTTATTAGACAAAAGTTTTAGTCGACGACAAACTTGTTAATGTTATTCCTTTACATAAAAAATATCTTATACAAATTTCGTATCATCAAAATTTGGGTATTCAAGGTAAGCACGAAATGTTTTTCTAACTAAACTGAATTGGGTTGCACCTTTAATCGCTTAATTAACTTCCAAATTTAAGCAAAGACATCTTTATTAGCATATTGTATTAACTTTTCAGCGACATACAGCACGTATCTGTGTCTACAAAATAAATCCAATTTCTTATTTTTTACATTCGGCACGCTTTATCAAAGTCGTACAGCTAAGCACAAGCATACTGAACAGCAGCGTGCCGAATGTAAAAAAACTAAGAGCTTGTATTTATTTAGTAGATCGTATAATACATTTTCGTCACCATTTTCACCAAAGTTGTTTGGTGAATGAACGATCGTCACTAGATTTTTACCTCGTTAAGAGGTGCTTTTGTTTGATATCAGAAGTTTGTGTTTTAAACATCAATCACATAACTCATCTCCATACAGCTTAATTTTTATTTTTACACTTTCACCGATCTTTTTCCCAAACGAATAAAAAATTTTACCGTCTTTTTATGCAATCCTTTTAGGTTTTGCAATATCTTTTGATTGTTGTACCGGCTATGATCGGACCATCACAACAGTGATGAGTGGTCTTCGTCACAAAGTGGACTGCCGTCCACAGTAATGTTTGAAACGAGTGAATTTTAGTTTTCGTCAGAAGTTTTCCTCTTTACGATAAACAGCACAAGCCAGTAGCTTTAGTAGTTTACTAGTTACGGGCTGTTTATAGCTGTTTTTCTGTCAAAATAACGAGTTTTTCCAAAAGTGGTAACACTAAGTTGTTTAACATCATCTTAAATTTCCAGGACCTGCAAGTAGAGATTGGATACGCACAAAAAATGTTCAATGCGCAGGCAGTGTTAGATGCTCTGAACAGGTGTGGCCATTTTTGTTGATTAATAACTTTCAAAAGAGACTTTTTACAATAATGTGTCCTACGTCAAAAGTTGAGGAATCTCAAGGGCCCTACACCTTAAAATTTAATTTTAAATCGTTAAAGCCGTTTTTAAGAATTCAAGAAAAAAGCTAAAGAAAAATCTAATATAAAAAACAACTTTAGCCCATAATTTTTAAACGGTGGTACAAAGACAAATTATGTTAGAAAGGCGTACAAAGTATTTCAAAATACCTTTCTAACGACATATACCACAAGCCTGTAGTAGTTCACAAGTTAGGGGTGTACAAAATTTAGCTATTTATAGCTGTTTTCTCGCCAAACTAGCTAGTTTTTCCAAAAGTGGTAAGCCTAATGTTTCTTATAGTGAGCTGTTTAACATCGTCTAATAGAACTCTAAAATATCGATTTGGGACAAAATGACGAACTGACAAACAAAATAAAGTTTTTATTTGAGAAGTCCCCCAAAATCTTGTTTTGCGTATTACTTTTGAACGGAGCATCCGATTTTGACACTTGAGGTGTCATTCGACGCGTACATTAAGTGAGAATACAAGTAGCTGGGTATTTATCCCCACCGGCACCAACAGATCAAGTTTTCTAAATTTTCACTTTAACACTTTCACCGCTCTTTCTTCCAACCAATTGAAATTAATAAAGTCTTGGCAAACAATCTTTTTGCAGTACCTTTTGATTGCTTTTTCAGCTATCAACGGACCATCACTGCATACTTCCAATTCTGCGGCTTTATATAGTCGCCTTCGCACACTCTCCTGGTGCGCGTTCGTCACGACATGGACAGCCGTCCACAGTGATTCGATAAAATCTTTAGTTCTATTAAACCATTTTTTTCAGAATCTATTATTTTTTTTAATTTTTCTTCTCAGAATCCTTGTGTAGGAAAGCATTTTAACAGACTTTGTAAATTTTTGTTATTGTAATTATTTGGTGTGATTTCGAATTATATATTAATTTATTTATCGCGAGATGAGTTAAGTTTGTTTGGTCCGGTTTATCCAAGCCAAAAATCGCGACATCTTTCGAAAAAGTCCCCTATAAAGAAATCTGTGGCAAAATCAGCTGTTGTCCATCAATGACCTACACCCATAAAGTTCCGGTTATTAAATCATTTTAACCGAATTCGTTATCACAGTCTTGAACCCCCGAAATCTCAATCTTTTATTGGCCCAAAAGCCCAATAGTAGTGACCTAATAAATTACCTGCGAAATAAAAAAAACCGAACGGCGCGATAAGATACGACTGTATGCAGTTTTAAATAATTTCCCTGCCAATCTGTCCCATGATTTTTGGTCGTGAGCCAAGCCGAAACAACAGCAAAAAGGAACCCAAAAAAACCCCGTATCAATCCACAATCAGAAATAGCTGGCTACATGGTAGGCTTATCGCAACATTATCAACTAGAGCCCCCTGCATAAATAGGAGTACTGTGTAAGCCCGGTGGTCATTGGCAATCGATCGACTTCGTGGGAGCCATGTTCAAGTTGCTGGTGCTCTCCAGCCTTTTGGCATTGGTGCTGCCTTCGCTGGCGGAAATCGGTTGGTGGAAAACGAGTCAGTTCTACCAGATCTACCCAAGATCTTTCAAGGACAGCGATGGTGACGGAGTTGGGGATCTCGTTGGTAAGTTTTGGTTTTGAAGAGACCTAGATATGGGTTAACTTGGAATGAATGTCAGGTATCACGCAACAACTGCCCTACCTGAAGGAAATCGGCATTACCGCCACCTGGCTGTCCCCGATCTTCACTTCGCCCATGGTTGACTTTGGCTACGATGTGGCTGATCTGAAGAGCATCGATCCCCTCTTCGGAACCATGGAGGATTTCGAGGCGCTGATAGCCCGCGCCAAGGAGCTGGACATCAAGATCATCCTGGACTTTGTGCCCAACCACACGAGCGACGAGTGCGACTGGTTCATCCGCTCGGTCGCCGGCGAGGAGGAGTATAAGGACTTCTACGTGTGGCACACCGGCAAGGTGGTCAACGGCATCCGGCAGCCACCCAACAACTGGGTCTCCGTGTTCCGTGGATCTATGTGGACCTGGAACGAGCAACGACAGGCCTACTACCTCCATCAGTTCCACGCCAAGCAGCCCGATCTCAACTATCGCAACCCCAAGGTCATGGAGGCCATGAAGGACGTCCTGCGCTTCTGGCTGCAAAAGGGAGCCTACGGCTTCCGTATCGACGCTGTACCGCATGTGTTTGAGCCTCCCGACTGGCCCGACGAGCCCCGAAACGAGGAGGTGAGCGATCCCGAGGACTACAACTACCTGTTGCACATCTACACCAAAAACCAGCCCGAGAACGTGGAGCTGGTCTACGAGTTCCGCGAAGTGATCGAGGAGATCGACGCCGAGCTGGGCGGGGATGACCGCGTCCTGCTTACCGAGGCCTACTCCCCGCTGGATGTCCTCATGCAGTATTACGGAAACGAAACCCACAAGGGCTCCCAGATCCCCTTTAACTTCGAGCTGCTGACCAAGATCAGCAACAGCTCCGACGCCTACCACTACTCAGAGCTGATCCACAACTGGCTGGACAACATGCCCGAGGGCCAGGTGGCCAATTGGGTGTTTGGCAACCACGACGGCACTCGCATTGGATCCCGCCTGGGCGCCGACCGCATCGACGCCTGCAATATGATCATCCTGGGCCTGCCAGGCGTGAGTGTTACCTACCAGGGCGAGGAGATGGGCATGACCGACGTGTGGATCAGCTGGGAGGACACCGTGGACCCGCAGGCCTGCCAGTCCAACGAGCAAGAGTTCGAGCGACTCAGCCGAGACCCCGTGCGAACGCCCTTCCAGTGGAGCGACGAGCAGAACGCCGGTTTCTCCAACGCCTCCGTCACTTGGCTCCCGGTGGCTACTGACTACAAGACCGTCAACGTGAAGAAGCAACGCGGAATCGCCCTGAGCCACCTGAATGTCTACAAGCAGCTGCGCGCTCTGCGGGATGAGCCCACCTTGAAGCAGGGTGATGTCTCCGTTTTGGCTATTGGTCCCAATGTGCTGGCCTTCAAGCGGTAAGCGAGGATAACCCATATTTTATATTCAGGAAAATTACTGATTTCCTTATAACAGCTCCCTGGCTGGCCAAAAGTCCTACATCACCGTCATCAACATCAACGATGAAGTGGAGTCGGTCAACTTGGACTCTGTCTTCACTTCCATCTCCACTCAACTGCAATACGTGGTGGTGAACAACAAGAGTTCGCGCCGCAAGAAGTGAGTTCTTGTCACATGGATCATATATAACCAAATAGCCATCAATCTCTATATTTTCAGCGATCTTACTTTTGCCAACTCCGTACTGCTGATGCCCAAGGAGGCTGTCGTGCTAAGCACGGTCTAAACTAATTTAACACCTCTTCAATAAAGAATAACTTCCTCCTAGGGGTAAAATTACTCAACAGAGTGCTGGTCTGTGGGATACCCCCAATTGATTGGCCAATTACGCAAAAATCGCGTAAAAGTTGATGGGGTTTGACTCTAAAATTTAAAAAAATTTTGCCATCTTTTGGCAAGTTATTTTAGTACAAAGATTGCAATTGCCTTAAATAATATTTTGTACATGCGTATATAGTGCACCTTGGTGCGCCGCACATCTCTCTTTGGACGTCCTAAAGTATGCTGTAGTCTTGTTGTGGCAGTATAAGATAGTACAATTTGAATTTAAACTGTTACACATATGAAGATAACGGAATTTCGTGGATTATGCAGGAATCGAATGTCTTGTATCGATAACTGTATGTATTAAATAATCGGACTTGGTCATGCCATCCCTAATAAAAGCCAAGAGAGAACGCTATAGTCGATGTCACCTACTATCGAATACCCGTTACTCAGCAAAGGGGAGTGATAAAGCGACTAAAACCAAGATTTCCCACTTTATTTGCTTATAACTATTCTTTCTGCTATCAACACCGATAGGCGTTTAATGATACATTATGGTGTATTATCATGAAGGACCCAGCAAGGTTTGGAGGAAGCCCAGCACAGCCTTTAGACAGAAAAACATCATACCAACAGTAAGCTTGGAAAATTATTTGTAATGGTTTAGGGATGTGTTTCATCCGAGGGCGTTGGACAGCTCCGGATTTTCAACGATATAATGACCAAAGAGTTTTATTTGCACATTTTAATAAAAGAGTTGACCAAAAGCGTAAGAACTTTTGGGTTCGTTAGCCCTCAAAACCCAAATAAGCTTCAGTAACGACCCCAAGCACAAATCGCAAATGCTTTGCAAGCCTGACTGCTCTATAACTGCAGCAAAGTGATTGACACTCCTGCCCAGAGTCCTGACCTGAACCCCATCCAAAATCCGTTGGCTTAATTGAAAAAGAAGATGGCTTAACGGGGACCAATAAAAATGCCTTGATCAAAGCACCTAAATGACCTTATACATTCCATGCCTTTTCGCCTGAATGCTGTCTTAGATGCCGAGGGACACCACACCAAATATTATTATAATATCCCTGCAGTACCATTCAGCGCTTTTTAGGCACTGAATCACTGCAAACCAACATTTAAGTTCTCCTACGCCAGTACGGCAATCAGCTATTTCGTTAAAAAATGGCAACTCGGGCCTACTTAATCAACCCGCAGTGTCACGGCAAGAATGTTCCCGATGGAGCGCTTACCAGAATTTTGCGGAAAGTTCACAGAGTTGACGATTTGGTAAAGGTGTATTCACAGCGTTAATGGAAGGCGATAATGAGATCGACGATTTCTCCAAGCTTACACACCTTAAATCGAGTGTAGGGCCTATACCGAGTAGGGCGTTTGTCGCTCAAATTTTCATAAGCAAATTCAAAATAGCAGCCAGAATTTAAAACTGCGGTCTTTCACACTGAAAAGACGCGATCGATAGATGCCAAATTAGCTCTGGTCCCACAATTCGGCCTTTTATGCTTTGGACTTGGTTGAGTGAGGATCGATTTCTGTTGAACAAAAATGTAAGTCTTCTTATACCAATTTTAAATTCTGCAAAATATCAGCCATCCTTTGTAAAGGCTTTTTGCTACCAATAAGTTTCTGTTGATTAAATAAAGTAAGTTTTACTAAGTGGCGAAACTCCCGTTTATAGGAAAATACTTGGCAGTCGAGCTTACTACTTCCCGTGGGTTAAATCTTGTCAAGGAGATAACCCAGTATGCAATTGCTCAGTTATATAACCACGTGCAGCTCTCGACATTCATATTACACAGCGTACCCGTTTCCGGTTTGGCAGTGCACAGGTGGGCAGGCCCAAACTGGCAACACCCGTTCAGCACAGGGTGATTCTTTTTCTCAATGCAACAACAATTTCAATTTGCCAAGTATAAGTGAAACCAAAGTCACAATATATAAAAAATGTATAAATTAACTATAAGAATACACACAATTTATTTATGTGTGTGTGTGATTTCCTGGAAGCGTCACACTATTTCGTCAGAATCCAGATTTCACGTGTTGTCTCTTGTATTCGTCCTGTGGTCCTCCCACAGCATGTATAATGTGCTCGGCGCAATACTACACTTCCCACCAACTCACAAACCAAGTTAAATACACTTTATGTATAGTTTTAGATATATATTTTAAGTTCCTTGGATCACGTCTTGTCACTTAAAAATTATGCGGAATAAGTGAGAGCTGAACCAGCTCATCGGAACCAAAACGATATTAGTGTTACCAGTAGTGAGCAGAATACTTTTGCTTATACGATATTCTTATCGATATGAAGTAATGTCATATTCCAACATTAACCTATCCTATTTTTAATTGAGTCTAAATCAGTAAATTATCTAAAATATAAATGTCTGATAAAAATTAAAGTAAACTATCCCAATTCTTATTATAGTCCAACAAAAAACAACGAAGAACGAGGAAGTCGAGATACCCGTTACTCAGCTAAAGGAGCAGGAAATCGAGATTGTAATGCGCCACCTACCCGAGAAGTTAATATATGGTTATGGGCGGCAGACTGATTTTAGCGTTATGGGCGTTAAAGTGGACGTGGCAAACTTCTTCGGTCATTCGATAAGTATTGACGAGACAATGCACAGTGGTTGCGACCATAGGCCAAAAATAAAAAAGGTCATAACAACAAAAATGTACGAAAAGTGAACAAATTGTTCCTAAAATGTCCTTCTTCATGACAAACTAGATTTTTCTGGAAATCTAACGGTTCTTTTTAAAAATAGAATTGCAGTTGTGAGCAGGTGTTAATTTGCACAGCGCAGCTTGCGCGCATCGCGAGTATTTCACAACAAAACCGAACTTTGAAGTGGTCAGTTCAATTATTACGTATCCAAATTTAAAATATTTGTAATGGATTTTGAAGTTGAAGGTATTTTTTAAAATTTGAGATATTATAAAAAAACGTACTTGTTAAACTGTTCTTGTTATATTAATTTGAAATAATACATGTTTTTAAATCAATTCGGAAAAATTTGGATGCTCTGTATCCATGGTATTACCTTTCACCATCCACGGTTCTGAAATTATAAGCTATGCCCTTGTTTCGATAGGAGAGTTGTCGGAAAAGCTGCCGAATCTAAAAAAAGTATATAAAAAAATTTCGAGAGTTTCACACTAGAAAAATGTCTCGAGTAGACACAAATAGGCCTTTATTAAATATATTGCTGTTAACCTCAGACCCATTTATAAGTGGGCAAAGAAATGTATAATGCACAAAAAAAAAAACAAAATTATTAAGCGGTGTGCATTTGTTGCGCGATGAATAAAATAAGTGTTATATATGAAATTATGATTGATTTGCTTTTGGGGATAACGATTTAACCAACTTTTTTATTGAGAGGTCAAATATTTAATTCAGTCTTGGAAAAAAATTATTTTATAAAAAGTCGCGCCATCCGTTTGTATGGAAGCTATACGATACGATTTTTATATACGATACGATTTTTTTACAGTGTGTTTAGAATATTTTTATAGATTATTGGACAAAATTTTATTGCAATATCACCACTAGAAATGCAACCACTGTGCAATGGCTTTTTATTTAAAGCCTAGTACTCAGATCGACTAAGTAGCCAAGTAGCTAGCTGGTGGTGGTGGAGCTCTGTGTTCCCAATGGCGAGCTCGTCGGTGATCGTATAACCTCTATTAGTACAACGAAACAAAATTATTCTGGCCAGAACTTACTTTCTTTGCGAGGACACGCCCGGCAGAATGTCCATGTGGGAGCGAAGTCCCACTCGGCATGTTCTTCCCAATGGGATACCCTTGCAGATCTCATTCGGCTATTCTGCGGATTTGCCCTGTTGGTTCGGCGTCCTTTTTTATCTGTACTGACGTCCTACAGGCGGAGTTTTCCTTCCATTTTTATTTTTTGTTTCCACACAGGTTTTTTAGGAACACCGCCAAATTAAATTTCTTTTTCTTTGGGCCGCGGCTAACGGAGTTCATCGAAATTCACTAGCTAAATCTGTTTTTTTTTCTGGTATATCCATAGCTCATCCTCACTCCTATGGTTAGCTCGCGGTTTTCGTCGATGTGGGTACTTAAACTATTTTATCTGGCGTGAAAACTGTAAGAGCCACAGTTCTGGGCGGCTTGTGGGCGTCAGAGGGGGAGTGACATGTTCGCGTAACAACCTTGCGCTGCGCACAAAGCTAAAGAATCTAAATCTGAATCCCAATTCTCTATCTTTGATAGTTTCCGAGATATCAGTGTTTTGAAGCGCTAGAGTTTTGTGAGCGTTAGAGTGATTGATCGATAGGTATTGGCTAGAGCAATACATTTCAGTTAACATTTTTTTTAGCACTAAGGCTAGGAGCTACACTTTTGGGCGGCTTGTGGGCGTTATTCGTGATAAGCGAAGATAGCGAGACCTCCGAAAAATGGGAGAAATGATTTACGCTAAGTTGCCCGCTTGGTAGACGATGGCACAGTTTTTAATTTATAGAGGAATCAGCCTAGCGGGTAAAGAAGTAAGAAAACAATCGTTCTTCATTGGATTTCTAAAGACAGAGTCCAAAAGGTCAAGTTTGGTGGCTTTTGTAGAGCATTCCGATAGCAAAGCTTGCCATAGTTTCTCGGGGATCTGATAGCTCAATAAAGAAACTGATGGCAACTATCGTTTCACAAGGTGCGTCTTGGATTCAGGAAGTCTGCTTCACTTTGTGACTTGGAGGAACCAGGACAATATGCTCTGGAATAGGTAACGCCAGGTCAGAAATGCTAGGCGAAGTGTAGACCACTTTACAGTAGCGAACTACCGAGTAGTGAACTTTGTAGCAAAGGACAAATTTTTTGCCAGAGATCATCGATTACAGCCCTGTCGCGAATCGATTTTGCAGCGAATTAAATATTCACCGAAAGTTGCTCCTAGTCAACCCTCAGTTCTGTTCCTCTGATTACATTGAAAAACCGTTGGGGGTGTCATTGTTTTTTAAG